TAAATAGGAGGTTCTTGTGGCACACAAAGGATATAAAAGGTAAAACAATAGTGTGCTTCCCGAACACACTCAAAAGTATTATGGAACAAAAAGTACTCAAGAGGAATCCACCCAAGTACAAGCCCAAAGTAGTGAATCAAGATTAAATAGATCTAAACCTCGGCCTAAGAAGAGATGGAATTAGAAAAAATGGGAAACAAATAAGTTATTGGGACTCATGACTAAGGAAAGTCTCGACCCACGAATGACAACCCAAAAGGAAGCACAAAACATAATTTGGGAATGGATACTCATTGGGTACATGTGTGTGGCCCTTCACACATGTGACCTGTGGCACCCACACATGCGGGCACCCCACCTGCATGGACAAACACGCGGGGTGTGCAAGCAGCAGCACCCATATGCCACATAATGTGCTCATAGGTACACATTCGCCCAGCCATATGTGTAGCACCCGCGCATGTGTGGATAAGCCAACCGGACATAGTAGCACGTGCTTGTATGCATGCAAACAACAGCAAGCATGTGTGCCCTATGCAAATGTGTGCAGTAGCCCGAACGCATGCCCAGCACCCAAGGCGCGAGATATCGACTCGCTTGGTAGATCAACATGACCCACATGCCCAGCTTCCATGATCCATGTGACAAACGCACAACACCCGTGCGTTTCCAATAAGCTACCCACGTAGCAGCCCTTTCCTAAGTCCTTTTAGACTCCTTTTCTTGCTTTTCCAAGTCTTTAATGATTTTAAGTCTTCTAAAAATTATCTTATATGATTAAAATGCTAAATTGGAGGAGGATTTTAACTCAAGTTGGAAGTCCAAGGAAGATCAAGCTAAATAAATATTTGGATAAGAATAAAAGAATATTTTATTAGTTATTTTTATTATTTTTTATTATTTTAGGATAATATTGAATTATTTAATTATTTTTGTATTTGTTTTCTACTTAATTATACTTTAGGAATTTGTAATCCTATTCTGATTAGAATAAGTCAATAAAAATCTATATAAAGGTTTAAGTCCATAGTTTGTAATCACAACATTTGAGATTAATAAAATTATGCTTTTACTTTCTTCAAAATTAGCTTTAGCTAATTTCTTTGAGTGTTCTTTAATTTCTTCAAAGTTAAGGAGTTTTTCAAAGTCTTGTTAAGCTAAGGAGTTGGGATCGACTTATTGGGTAAGTCGTGGCATCTTTCCTTTTTTTATTTTTTTCCTATTATCTTGTTTTTTCATGCCATGTACCTGGTATAAATTCATGTAGCGAAGGAGAATTAGGTAGTTAAGTCTTTTGATTGCAAGCATTGATGGAGGTTTCGGAAGTCAAAACGATCCTCCCCATACCCTCCCGTGTCAGCTAGCATCAGAGCATAGGCTTATAGTGAACTACACTATATTTTTTTATTTTAGTATTCTTGTTTATAAATTAACAATTTAAATTTTTGATTCTTAGTTTGTTTTGCATCCCACTTGAATATATATTATTCGTTTAATTCAAATGGTTTTGTATTTCTATCATTAGTAAAAAATCACAAATAAAGAAACCTAAAAATATCCCAATTGCACACCATAAGGCAATTGACATGCTGTTTGTACTTAAACATAGAAAGAAGAGTAACTGTTTTGTTATGTGATGGAAAACTTTTGAAGAGTCAAAGGAAGAGTAAGTCATCTACCAATTTTGTGTGAAAACTTTTGATTTCATTCTGTTGCATAAATAAAGGAAAATTAACTGATCTTTGTGAGCGAAGACCGTTTGCTTCACGTTTATTTTTTGTTTGCATCCTAGAATTTACATCGACATTGCATAAAGAACATTGACTAGTCATA